TTTTGTGTATATATGATAGGTATGACAATCGGATGTAAAGTATATGTCATACCGCTAGGTGCAGGGGGCGTGGCACCTCCCATACAAACCGAATTATTCATATAACATATCTCTGGAAGTGTTCATGGTAGACTACTCGAATATGGTATGGAGATATATGAAAACAATTGCATACTCACGGAGAAAAATTGCGGTTATTGGAAAAAGGGGCGTGGCACGTCCCATAAAAACCGAATTTTTCATGCTGCATAGCCCGGAAAATGTTCATGGAAGAGGTCTCGAACATGGTATGGAGATACATATATGAAAGCAATCGCATACTCATGGTGATAAATTGTGGTTATCAGAAAAGGAAGCGTGGCACTTCCAATACACATCGAATTTTTCATACTGCATGTGTCTGGATGTGTTCATGGAAGAGTACTGGAACGTGGTATGTACAAGATATAGAAATCAGTCGCGTGGTCATGAAGAAAAGTTGGGGCTATTGGAAAAAGGGGCGTGGCACCTCCCATGGTATATTACTCGAAAATGGTATGGAGATATATGAAATCAATCCCATGCTCTTAGAGAAAATTGGGGCTATTTGAAAAGGCCTTTCAAATGCACTGAAACTATTACGTATCTATGTATGCATGTACAGATTTGCTGGGTTATTTAAGACGGCAATGGAAATATGCCTTCTGACAACCACAAAACCGTAATATTAGAAGATAAATGTGTCACTGAAAACCATGAACGTGAACTGTTGGTGAAAATGTTGGACCAAAATGTTTCAATTCAAAAAATTTACTTTGGGCGGGACGAAGTTCGCCGGGTTGCTAGTATAATAGATATTAGTTCACTAGCTTCATATCTTGTTTCCTATAACAAAATAATGAAATGCTGCAAAAGAAAATTAACCAGTGACGGCTGTGTATGCGTCAATTGAGCGAGGAGTTAACAAAACCAATATCTAAAATCGTTTGACAAACGTACAAATAAGGAGAAATTATACACAGGCAAAAATCGCCATTTAAAGCATCATAGGTCGTTAAAAAGTTACTGTGGATGTTACGCCAAACCCTTCAATTGAACGAAATGCACCAGGAAGAATCGAAGTAACTGGTTGTGGTTCCATTTGCAATAAACAGGAAAAGAAAAAAAGACGAAAAACGAGGAAGAACTGCTGGGAATGTGAACAAGTGTTATGTGATGAACATTCCAAAAACTTCATTAAATATATTTGCTATAAATATACTGATTATTTAAACATTTTTGTTTTCGTAATAAGTTATATAGTATAGTTATTTTTATGAATTACATGCGTATAATAGAAAAAAAAACTACAAAATATACTACCGAAGTAATTGGGTACCCGGGTGCTGGTACGGTATACTACATTTAAAGTCGATTATTTTTTGATAAATAAAACAATTTTTTTACATTGAATTTTCCAAGTTCCTTTATTTAAGCTAAATAACGACGATCCGGAGGATGGGAGAGAAATGTCAACTAATACTCGACTTATACGGAAAAAGGTCCTGTGTGGGTACACAAGGGTTAAATTAAAAAATTGGAACATTGTGGCTGCATTTCTTTATTCATTCTGAACGTTTGGAATAAACTTTTTTGTTTATTTATTCTTTAGAACGTTCCTGATGATATGTTGACGTACATTTCAAACGCATTCTGTTTATTCCGGCTGTGAAATGGGATTATCCGGAATGTATAAAGAAACGCAGCCTGTATTTAAGAAAGAGTAATTTTGCTGCTTTTTCGGGTTACAGCCTGTTTCCTAACGGGTCGTAAATCAAACCTGCGCCATTAAATAACTACTCGCTCGAGGCGACAAACTTGAACCTTTACAAAATTGTAAATTATTTTCGATTGACGCTGCACCAGTTGAGAGGACTTCAGTTATTTTTTTTTCGGTTCAATAATTCGAGAATTGCGTCGAGGCTGTAAATGTCGGATGTATCCTCCTGACTTTCATCGTCATCAGCGTTTTGTGATTTTAGTTTTTGTAATTCATTTTTGATGCTGTCTTCTGTGACTGGTTTGAAAAATGTGTGCTTATAGCGTCGCGACGTTGTGAATTGGTGGATATGGCTAATAAACTGTTATTTTGTAGGAATGAAAATTTCGAAGAAAATTTTGTATTGCAAGTCGTGGCTGCCAGCAGAATTTGTTTTAAATCTTGTTATTTTGTTAAAAAGGTACCCCGTTTTTTATAATAATTCAATTATTGGCATCACGGAGGATAAAGGTCTCAGATTTGCTTAATTCCCGGGTGACCTCTTGGAAAGGTTCACCTGCAATGAATAGCTTGTAATTATTTTTTTGATTAGTTAGCTGAGCTTGGCTTTTCCTAGTTGCAGGCAGTCACAATTAATTACTCACCGCTGTCGGTACCATAAGCCATCAAATACATTTTGTTTTTCCATTCCATGCGCTCAATGTGTTTTAATATATTTTTTCCGCATTGATTATTGCGAATGCGAAAGCGGATGCGAATGTTAAAATGTATGCGGAAGTTCCGCGGGTGCGATACGAATGCGAATAACCGTGATCTAGACATTCCTTTAAGTCAGGAGAGGAAAAAGCTTTTGTAGCCATTTTCTTCAGGTATTTCGCAAAACTCCATACGAACCAGAAGGGTTCGATGATTACGAAAAGATCTCTTTTGGTCTTAGCAAATTTGCCTTTGATTGAATATAAACGAGAAGAGGCGATGCATTTTTAAGTTCGCTTGGCAAGCGACGCTTGCTTTCTATATCAATATATGAGTTTTCATAGAAAGTGGGCTTAGCAATATTTTACTCTATGCTAGCGATATGTATGCAGTGGAGCGGCGAAAAACTGTTATCCAGTTTTTTTTTTTAATATAAGGTTCCCTTATAGATTTTGCGGAAAAAGTATTTCGTACATATTTGACTTTGATTTTATTAGTTCGTTTTTAAATTTTAACCTTTAATTGGGTTTACCAGCGGTAAGCGCTTTGAAAGAAAAGCGCAAGCGGCACGCAAGTCTTTGTCGGTTAATTTATTCCATATCTTCAGTAACCAGGCCAATTACTCAACATTTTTTCCAACATAAGGTCCCATACTCAAAAATCGAATAAACTCGGAACTGGTGACTAGGACGGCCACTCATTCGACCAACCCTATGCAGTTTTTTTTGTATTTTTTTATACAAAGTCTAAGAAAAAATACACCTGAAAAATACTTGCGTCTCCCAAAGTTTACACTGCTGGCAAATGCAAATAATGATTAGCATTTCAAAACTAAAGTAAAATATTTACAAAATTAACAAAATCTAAAAAGAACCCTCCCATTTTTCAAAAAAATAAAAACAGTGTAACAGTTTTTCGTCGCCTCGCTGTATATTCTGCCACTCGGACGAATAAACTGAACTTTAACTGTTTGATGCATCTACTAAATTTGCTACAAGCTGCCTACGTACATAAAGCAGTGTTAAAGCCCGCTCAATTCTCAAGTACTTTCGAATGATGCATAAATTTTTATTCATCATTCAAGCAATTTCAAATGACGAAGAAATATTTATTCATCATTCAATTAATATCGAATGAAGAATAAATTGTAACTTCGGATAAAGAATAAATTTTTGTTCTTAATTCAAATATTTTGAAATAACGAATGAATTTGTATTCATCATTCAAGTAATTTCGAATGAAGAAAAAATTTTCATTCATGATTCAAGTAATACCGAATAACGGATAATTTTTCATTTATTTTTCGTCATTCTTTCTTGATCACCGTACCAGGTAGACGATCATGGTAAATAGACTTGGCGATTTCAGCTGCAGTTGCATAATAGTGGAAGCATTCAATTTCAGAAAATATCGAGGGAACTTTAAAGTTCTGTACTCACAGCGTCGCTTACAATAAAATTAAAGTGTAAACAAAGCAAACGACGAAATTTACTTTGATTTTTCGCCGTAACGGTATATATGATTTTGTATGACATTGTAATAATAACCTATTTGCAACAAAATCGATAAAATGTCGCTAACGATATAATCGCAATTAGCTCGATTTGTTCAATATATAAATCAATATTCGCACGATTCTCTTAAACTCAAACAACTTGAAAACTAGAAAAATATTGCATACAGTTTAGTCTAAGCTTAATGGAATACCGCATTAATCAACACCTGCTATTGGAAGAAGGATTTATTAGATGGCATCAATTTATAAAAATTCTAAGTATGAACCCTTCGGCGACATCGAAGATCACCCCCCACGGGGCGGAAGGTCTATGTGAATAGATCATCGGAAATTTGAAACCCGAACACACTTACATAAAGGGAGAATATGCGGATGAAATGAAGAAAAAAATATCAATGTGTAGCTTTAGCAATGTTATTGAGCTTGAGCATGATTTGTGTTACATTGCTAAAAGTAAATATTGTTACGCCACAATAATAGTAACGTCAATGTGTAGTGCTTGTGGAACTCTCAACCCCCATTTTTTTTAGTTTTCGATAATGGTAATTTTGTATAAATTAAAATGAACAATGTATGATTTGCCGAAATAGTAAAGGTAGACATTTGGTGATTAGCAAGATTATTGATAACGTATATGAAAATATCTTTTCTAGCATTTGCTTTTGAGTTTCATATTTTTCCTTGTAATGTATTTTATATACATACCTCTCGTTTACTAAAACACGGTCACAACTCAAAAAATGGACACTTTCAGAAGCAGAGTTTAAAAATTTAAATTTACTCATAAAATGTATCATTAGCTCAAAATTTTATTTTTAGAGCTTCACCAGTCTTTTAGCAAATTAGTGGTATGCATTAAATAAATATCAGCCGTGTATTCCACTATATTGAAAAGTTAACTTTAAATTTAAAAAATAGCGATGTATAGATTTGCCCCACCTAAGCATTTTTGCTTTACACATTCCTCTGAAGGATATATGTAAATTGTTTTTGACCGCGACTGTGTGAGAACCATATTGGGAATCCAAGCCACTTATTAGTCAATACGAGTATGTATCATACATATGTATATGTAAATTGCTTATTTTATTTTATGTCTATGTATTCCTATAATCTCTTAATTTTCCAAATAAAAGGCATCTCAACATATCAATAATAACAGCTTTACAAAGCGCTGTTCACACCCAAAGAGGGCCCATAGTATCTGTTATAATTTGTTTTACATCCTCTCTGTCCATATCACTGAACACTATTAATAATTCAACAATTGTACGCGAGGAGCCATTTGCGCGACATTCCCACAAATTAAGGATCTGCTCGGTTGGTGAGGGCTTTGTAGCAAAATATGCTATATAATGATCAGTACCAAGTTTTTTAGCCAGCAACCTCCAATCTTTTTCGTCTTGACGAGGTGGGTCCAGAGCTGCGCAAATGAGTCGCTTGCACGTTCGCGGTAGGTAAACACTACTTAAGCTATTCGTCTCATTCACATAACTGCTGGCACGATCAATAGAGATAACTGCTTGTTGATGGTCATATAAGTGCGTTGGCACATCGGCTGGAGGAAAATATTCATTCGAAATAACAAACGAGTGCAACTGCCTTTTGTCACTCTCCGAACAGAATTGCTCGAAATCAACATTAAATACCAATCTAGAATTTAATGATCGCTTTATGCTAAACTCGCAATGTAAAATGGAATTATTATTAAGTATGTGATTATAGGGAATCATTTGTTCATAGTCGGTTTGCTCCTTTAGATCCCACGAACTGGACTCCGTATTGTGAACACGGATGACTAAATCGCTTGTGTTCAAGTGAAAAGCAAATGTTTCACTTAAACCCATAATAGTACCACCAAGTTTCGTTTCAATCATGGTACAAATGTCTTTACTATTAGGAAAGTCTTTTACAACATATATTCGAAGGCTGCAGTTTGAATTGCTCGGCACTAGTTGACTAAATGCGATTAGTCGCATTTTAATTGAAGTTTGGTGGTTGTTGTGCACTTTAGGATCAGCGACAACTGCGAAGCGTCCCAACTGTTCTGTCATAATATACAAATGACTTTCTTCCATGTGTACGAAAACGGGCGTATTTATCGTTTCTTCCCCAACTGAAATTATTTTCCGCCAATTCGAATTGATGTCATAATGATTGTTATCTGCGTGGTATATGTTCACATTCCATTTCCGAGGATCAACGAGACAGTGTGGCAGTTTCACTACCACTGGCTTTTGGAAGCTATAGTTTCGCGGTGAACAGTAAATTATTGTGCTACATACAAACAATGGCTCAGCGCAAGGTATTGATATTCTAGAGCTTTCATCACTCAATAAGATCAAAGACATGTGTTTTTTTTGATTTTTGCTGATGGCAAACTCTGGAACATGTAGCATTATTTCGCCCTGATAAAGTTTTAAGCTGCCGCCGCAATTATTTAAAATCTCGGTTACTACGTTTTTGCATGCAGAAGGTATGGATACATTGCCCGTTATATCGTATGTAGAATTCGCTGAAATAGAAAATTTGTTAAATTAGTATAATTATATAGTTGTGATAACCGCTCAGATTTGTTTATTTGAACTATTTATATTGCAAGGGGCGCAAGCCCACTTTTCTATTCTATAGACTTTAAAATTTCGCCACTTACAGGCGTATTCTAACAAAGTCACAAACCTTAGCTCATCACTGTAGTGATTTCTACCGCGCCTCAACGTTTGCTGCTGCAACAAATATGCCGCTACAACACAAGTTTTTAACCTTTGGTGTATTTTTCTAGCACTTAAGTCCAATTTCACGAAAGGAATTTAAGTGAAAAATTAGTTTAATTTCTGGAATTTTATATGGAAACTGACAGAAAATAAAAAATCCTTTTCCATTTGAAATCGAATTTTTGTGGCACATTTTGCGGCGCACTAGAAATCACAACAATGGTAGACTAATGTCGTTTTCGTTTCTACAAAAAATGTTGCCTTCTCATTGCCTTCTTATTGGGATTTGTGCGTAGAGGACAAATAGAAGGTAACATTTTTCGATAGAAACGAAAACGCCATAAGTTTTGTGACTCTGTTAGAATATAGGGGTTAGTCAACCATAATAAAATGTACTGCAAGGTTGTTATTACTTAACTTATGTATTTACTTTGTTTCAGTAAAACCTAATTTTGTAAATAGAAATGATAAGAAATGTTATGTTATTAAAAGAAAATTTTTGAAGTTGGTTACTAGAAGAATTCCAAGGCGAATTCATACAAGGTGGTGACGAGAGCAGCTAATTTGAAGTCGATTGTGTTGATTGCCAAAATTATGTGTTTATTTTATTTGTCATTTATTTATTTAAATGGACATATAAGACATAGTCTTTTACAGTCCCATATTTCATAACAATTACATAATAATAAAATTTTTGTAGCTTAAAGAATATATGTATACTAATCAGTTGTTAAACGAGTTTTTGAACATTTCATATATTTTTCAGTTGAAGAAAGAAACAGTAATGTGGGGAACAAAAAACTGTAATAAGATAGTACAGGATTTAGTTTGAGAAGAAAGAATACACAGCCGATTTGAAGCGCTTTGGATTAGTTTCCGATTTTAGTTTTCCTGGCTAAGAATTCCACAACTGTACGGCTCTAACAAAAAACATTCTTGATGTAACTGAATACTTAAAATAAAGTACGATAAGATTGCATCAGCGAGTTGACTGTGCAAACGTCAGTTTCGAAAAGAGGTATTTCGGGTAACGGGTGTAGATTACTTTATACATGAATAACACCAAACGCCGATCAAAGAATATAGATAAACTGTAGTCAAGAATATTTGCCGGAAACTCGGAGTTGTGATCAAATTTACGCTTATAATATATTTTTTTTTTAGCGGCATTGTTAAATAATAATTGATATTTTCCGAGGGATTCTTTATCCAGACAACCATATATTAACTCGTGGTACGATATTATTGGTACCAATTGCGTTTTAACGAGCTTAAGTACGCCCCCATAATGGGGCATGAAGTACGCCCCTATAATTCCATAATTGCCTCAGTACAGAATACATTCGGCTGACTGATGCGTTAACATGATCTATACACGTTAGATTTTGATTCAGTGTAAAACCAAGTGTTTTAACAATCTTCTAATTCTTCACAACACTCCCATTCAGCATGATTGGAGAAACATTATCAAGATTGTAGGGAAAATGAGATAGGGCAATTGTCTGTGTTTTGGACGAATTGAGGTTAAGCCTGTTATTTTTCGACCACAGAGAAATAGCTTGTAAGTCCTCATTTATTCGGAAGACTAAGTCTTCTGTTAAGCCTAGAGGGTCAGAGAGGTATATCTGAGCGTCGTCAGCATAAAGATGAATTGATACATTTTTGCAGCATATTTCTAAATCATTAATATATAAACTGAATAATACCGGACCAAGAATAGAGCTTTGCGGTACACCCGATTTTACTGGTGTTAAGCTAGAGCGGTTATCCCTAGAAACAACCCTTTGATGTCTATTAGTCAAATAGCTTTCCATTAGTTTCACGGCATCATTGTTGAATCCGAAATATGTGTCAAGCTTTCGAATGAGGATTCTAAGGCAAACAGTGTCAAAAGCTTTCGAAAAATCCAATAAATTGAGGATTGTTAGGTTGCCTTTATCGAAGGATGGTCGAACGTCCTCCATGACTTGGAGCATAGCGGATGGCAGCGACAATATGCACTCTGTCGCAAAAATTCCCAATTTATGTACATATTATTAGAAATATTTACAACTATTTTTTAAATATTATGTGCTTCTTATAGGGCTGAGAACTTCATCCGGATTTTTCTACTATCCGGATAAACCGAATATTCGAATATCCGGATACCTAAATGAAAAATCCGGCTACTCTGGAAGCTAAGGTGATATTCGGCTAACCGAATATCCGGATATTTCGTTATCAAAACGATACTTTCATTTCCCAATACCTGGCGCTCATAAATGTGTAGTAACAAGTTTTCTATTTCTACGCACAAAATTGTTTGTATAAATTTTAAAATTTTAAAATTTCCAAAATTCTACTTTGTAATTTCAAAGGCTTCTACAATCGAATTAAAAAGTTCAACAAACAAATATATGCGTATAGAAAACTTGCTACTTCATATGCATGAGCGCCTGGTATTGGGAAATTAAAGTATCGTTTCGTAAAAATAAAAAATAAAATAAAATTGACCGCGAGAGTTTTTTCATGGCTTTAAAATATCATGGACGGAATAATGAAAGCTATTACGATACTTTTGGTCGTGGTGAATTTTTTACCAAATTGTAGCATTTTCTAAAATTGATGACAAGAATAGTGCCATTTGTTTATATTGTGACAAAACGATACAAAACAAAAGGTCAACTTCAAGTCCGTCAAGAGCTAATTTACTCTATCGTGTACATAATTGAATTCACGAATATTATTAATCAGTTTGTTGATTTTTTTTTGTATATCTGAAAATACGAATATTAACCGGATCTTCGTAAATCCGGATATCCGAGTACTTGCACAAGCGAATATTAGCCGGATATCCATACTATCCGGATTTTATTCGTGTCAACGGATAATCCGAATGGATAACATTAGACTTCCTGAGATCTAACAAATAGTAGCTAGCTCCTCTATACACTCAGCTACTGCCAGAATACGTATACATGTTTTAAAATTTTCATTTTGAATAAACATTTTAAAATTATTGTATTTCGGATACGAAAAATGATGAAAACGGTACTGTCGACAAAAGGTGCGTAATAGTTCATTTCCACCAAGCCTTAACTGCAGTTTACGCCTTTTGGAAAAACGAGATTACAACTCGAAGGGGGTAATTACGCAAATTAAGTACAAGTAATCGAAAGAAAAAAACCAAAAACTAAGAAATAAACTTTGCTGTTAACATTATTTACCCTTACCTGAGCTCTTAACTGCAGTTAAGCTCTTGGCGGAAATGGCCCATTACTCTGCCGTCTGGGATTGTCTAAAAAACTTTATCAAAACCGAAGTCTCGGTAAAAGAAAAGGTGTGAAGGCGAATCATTGCAAGCATTGTGCTTTGGCTGTTAGTGCGATATAATCAGAGTACTTAGTAGTGTAATCTGCCCATGGGGATTAGTAAAAATCTCGGCAACACTGCCGCTGATTAGTAAAATTTCTCTCTAACATAATCTCGCATTGATATTTCATCAGCCAGGCGAGTTGGACGTAGCAGCGGATTTGTGCGAGCGGTGAAGTGCTTTTTTTCTTTGAAATAATTTTTGTAGAATACATATAATATTTCTGACTGAAATATATTATATCTGTGACTATACTTAAATTAGTAAATCTATATGGACATTGTCTGTTGTGCTTTTAAGTGGTGTGCTACATATTAGTGTGTTACAATTAATTATTTGCATACTGTGGTGGTAGCGACTAAGTGGAAGGAGAAGGTGAATCCTGTGTGGTTCGAGATCATCACCTGATTTTCTTGGGTGAGTTCCTGTTTATTGTTTATACCTTATACTAGTGATTGGCTTTTTGGTAGGGTTAGATGGAGGGCGCTTCGGCGTCGGGGGGAGTCCAATTGGTGGACGGCAAGTTGGGAGGAATCTCAACTGGTGCTAAAGCCAAAAGGATGAGTAGAGCTAGGAAGGATAAAAGGAATGCTGGTGGTGGGGGGGGAAAAACGTAAGGATGAGGCAGTAAAGGATCTTTGGTTATCCAATTCTGAGGAGGATGAGGAGATGGATTGTGGGCTAGTTCCACCTATGCAGGGTATGTTGGTTAAAAAGGGCACTTTTACAATGAACCAGGTTGGGGGGAACTGTACCAGTTGAGGATAATTTTACAGGCTTTAATAGCTCAGGCGAGGTAACTGTACCTAATAATTTTTGTTATAGCGGCGTTGAGGAGGTATACCCAAGCCAACTACATGGTGGGGAGTGTATAGCGTCGGTTACAACGGATTTTAAAAATGGCGATAATTTATATATGGATATGCGTGAGAGGGAGGGAGATAGTAATTTGCTACATAACATAGAAGAAACACAATGTGAAGAGTTAAATGGTACACAAAGTGTACAAAAGCAAGATAGGGAAAGTGGGGAAATTCAAAATGGTAGTCAGAATAAACAACAAAATGAGATGCAAACAGCATTACATACAGATAACAACGGACATTTCATAAATACAGAAGCAGGCACATTTGTGGATGACAGTGGCGTGAATAATAATAGGGTACGAGAAACATTGAATGCGGTTTTCATGTACACTGAGAGACACAGAGGGGATTTTTGTGTCCTAATGGACACTGCTAAAAGTAGTCATTTTGAAAATAAAGTGATGAAAAATGGACTTTTTCTTTTTGACAAAATAAGAAAATTTAATATTGAGGGGCTAAAGAATATTAAGTCCGTCGGCCGTTCTTTGTATAAAGTTTATTTTTATGATTTTAAATCTGCAAACAAATCTTTAAATAATAAAAATCTGATTGAGATGGGTATTCGTGCGTTCATACCGAATAG